CCCCCAGCCGTGTGGCAGCCCTGTGATCCCTCGGCCTTGTGCCAGCACTGTGAGCACCGGCCATGTGACAGCCCTGTGTCCCCCAGCTGTGTGGCAGCCCTGTGTCCCCCGGCCGTGTGGCAGCACTGTGATCCCTTGGCCGTATGACAGCACTGTGAGCACTGGTCATGTGGCAGCCCTGTGACCCCTAGCTGTGTGGCAGCCCTGTGACCTCCAGCTGTGTGGCAGCACTGTGAGCACTGGCTGTGTGGTAGCCATGTGACCCCTAGCCATGTGGCAGCCCTGTGATCCCTCGGCCTTGTGCCAGCACTGTGAGCACCGGCCATGTGGCAGCCCTGTGTCCCCCGGCTGTGTGGCAGCACTGTGATCCCTCGACCGTATGCCAGCACTGTGAGCACTGGTCATGTGACAGCCCTGTGACCCCTAGCCATGTGGCAGCCCTGTGATCCCTCGGCCTTGTGCCAGCACTGTGAGCACCAGCCATGTGGCAGCCCTGAGAGCAAGGGGAGCCATAGACAGTGAGGGGAGCCATGGACAGTGAGGGGGGCCACGGAGAGCAAGGGGGGCCACGGAGAGCAAGGGGAGCCATGGACAGTGAGGGGAGTGGATGTGTGCACTGAGACGATGGGAGACCCGGCCAGGTGCTGATCTTCATTTGGAGAGCCTCAGGAAGCCCTTGAAGGTCCAAGGAGGGGGGTGGGGAAGCCCCCAGAAGGAAAGAGCTGGTGTGTGGAGGGTAGGAGAGCTGCCATGTGGTTGCCCAGGAGCTGAGGATGGCGGTGGGGAGATGTGGACAGCGTGGGGAGCTGTTTAGCAGGCATGGACTAGACAGGTCTTTGTGATGTGTTGGGGTAAAGGAGAGGACGGAGGGAGGGAGGAGATCTCTCTGTGTCTGGCATGGGTGGTGGGCGATGGGTTGCCCCAGCTGAAGGGGGGCAGAGACCAAGTCTGGCAGGATGTTCACCCAGGGCCAGGTTTGACTGTGTTTGCTGAGAGGAAGCTCTGACCAGGAGGCAGTGAGTGTATGGCTCTGGTTGCCCAGGGAGCAGCAGCTCAGGGCACTGGAGTCACTGGCTTGCATGGCAGGTGGAGCCATCTGAGTGGACATGGCCTCCCAGGAGCCTGCATGGGGCTTGGGGCCGATGAGCCTTGAAGACCAGGTGGCGAAGGAGGGCCAGCCTGCAAGGGGTGTGGAGCAGAAACGCAGCAGGGCCAGGGGAGGCCTGGTGTGGCTGGCTGGGTGGCACAGGCTGGTGCATGGTGGGTTAGCATGGGGCAACAGGACAGAACACTGTTGGAGCCCAGAGCAAAGGAACCTTGGACAGCATGCCTGGATCCAGGGACTTGGGAGAGTGGTAACTTAGCTGCTGTAGCCACGTCAGACTCCTGAGGCCCAAGGCGTGAGAGAGCAGGTGAAATGGAGGTGGTGGGGCACACACAAGCTCTTCTGGAAGTCTGGCCCAATTCTCCCTTCTCCTTCCCTTCGCTCCTCTCACAGGCCAGGTGTGGGCCCTCAGCCCAGCTGTGGCTAAGGCCCTGGCCACCATGCTTCTCCTGGGAGCTGCAGGGCACAGGAGACACCCTCAGAAGGCCCCCAGGCTCCCAAAGCATTCCCTTCACCCTCCTGCTCCCCTTCTCTGGGCCTGGTTGGTCCTCTTGACTATTTGCCTCTTTCTGATTTCTGACCAAGGTTTGAGGCCATGTCGTTGATGCTCAGGTGTCCTTTGGTGTGCAGATGTGTGCGTCTGAGTTTGGGATAGAGGGTAGCAGAAGTTGGGACAGCAAGGGTGAAAACCTTAGCCATGCCATCTGGGAGCACGGGTTTGGAGTGAGTCTGAAGGGGAGAAGACAGCAGGCCTCTGGCCCTGCCCTTCGTCTGGCAGTCAGCCTTTGGATGGTGTTGCTTTCAGGAGGCAGGGGCTGGCCCTGCCCAGGTGAGTGGACCCAGCACCTCCTGGCGTCTGTGCAGCGGAGGTGCAGCCGGGACCTGCCTTTGCGCGGCTCCTTGGGAATCGCTGGCAGTGTTGGGTGTCTTCCCGCAGCCAGTGCTGAGTCAGAGTCCCTCCCTCTGTTCTCGGGCCAGTGGCTTCTGCACACTTTGTCCCCATTCAGATTTGCCTCATTAGATTCCGCTCACTGTCCAGTGTGGTGAGGCTGGGAGGGATCTTTGCTCCCCCAGCCTCTTGGCTTTGGATTCCTGGCAGGTTGACCAAGCTTCCTTCTAATGCTGTCTTTCAAGGTGGAACATTGCTGAGGGACAAGGCTCCTCTCCCAGAGCTGCCGTGACAAAGTGCCCCAAAGTGGGCAGTTGTAAAGAACAGAGCTCATCCTCCCGTCCTCTGGGGGCTGGAAGTGTGAACTCGGGGCAGTGGCAAGGCCACTTCTCTTCAGGCTCTGGGGGATGGCTCTCTCTCTCAGCGCCTGTAGCTCCCAGCCTTTGTTGGCACTCTTGGTTTCTCTGCAATGCTCACGTGCTGTCTTCCCCATGTGTGTCCTCTCATAATACCACTCAGAAGGGGTCAAGGTTAGGAACGCCTCTGGCATGACTTTGTAAACATCTGCCAGGCATCCCTTCTTCACTAACAAGGTCCCATTCACGGCTACGGGGATGAGGACCATCACATGCCCTTTTCAGGAACCAGCTCAATCCTTGACAGACAAAGGCCTCTCTAAGCTGGAGCCCCTCTTACCTCTGTCCACCAGGCCCATCTGTGCTGGGCTTCCCAGGTGAGCAGTCCACACCTCCGTAGTCCCGCAGACCAGGCATCCAGCAATCCTGGCAGCCATGTGCTGTTTATGTATCCCACCTGCTGCTTGGGGTCAACCAGCATGAGGTTCCAGTCTGCTTCTGACTGGGAGCTCCAGGGGGGACCCACCCAGTCCTCACTGAGGTCCTCCTGGGGCTCAGTGGAGCCTCTACCTCATGTGGTGAAAGGCCACAGTGACATTTATTGAGTGCCTGCTGTATGTCAGGCTCTGCTGTAAAGTCCTAACGATGTCTCACAGAGGAGGACACCAGGACACCAGGACAGCCATCCCCCAAAGCCTGCAGAGAGGTGGCCCTGCCACCACCCTGAATTCAGACTTCCAGCCTCCGGCTCCCAGCTGCCAGGGTCAGGTGCAGCTGCGTATCCTGTGTGCCCTCTCTCCCCCTGCAGCCTCATCCCTCTGCTGCAGCCTCTCTCTGCACAGCTGCTGGGGGGATGTCAGGCAATGTCCCAGGGAGGCAGGGTACTATACGCCCTGCTTTGTGTCCCAGAGCCCATCACAGGTCCTGCACATACATAGTAGGAGCTGAATAAATGCATGAGAGCACTGTCAGTCAACCATTGAGAATCCCCCCTGAAGCTGGGAGAGGTATGGTGTGGACCAGCAGTGGCAACATGTTAGGCACTAACTGGCCTGTGTCTGGG